ATTAATGCTAGTAAAGACATAGTGAAATGGTAAAAGTAAAACAATACAATTGAAGATGATCTAAATGGAATGTTTGGATTTGCTCCCTCTGTGATTTTTTGGGGGAAGAGGGAGGGATTACAGTCCATGAGAATGGGCTATTGTCTTTTCCTCAGTATTTGGGATGCTGTTTTTTCATGTGGCTCAGAAGCATTTCCTCTCCAGTTCTGGGGATGAATATATATCCCATCCCTGCCAGGGGTGCTACTGTGGGCACTTTCAGCAGTAACAGAGAGTTCTGGCCGTGGTGAGTACACCTTCTTACAGTAAAAACACTAAATCAAATCACACCAAACTCCAAACCATTAAACCCGTGAAGGTCAAAGAACCAGAGCAGTTAAGGGAGTGAGCTTCCTCCATTCATGGATAAGGTAACTATGAGAAAGTTGGGCAGCCTCTAGGCAATATATTACTTACATCCTTATGAGACCACAGCAAAACCCTTGACTGTAACTATCAAATTTGATGGCATTTTATGTTATCATGTGAAGTGACCAATAATACTAGAAACAAGGACCCCTCTGTATATAGTTTTAGCATCATGTTAGATGCATTAGGACCAACCACAGGCACTACAAGAGATACAGCCTCTTCTATTTAACATCTTTTTTTCTTATGACTTAACTAATTTATATGCATTATAAAAAGATTTGTTCTAATGTAATAATTTAATAATTTATCAGTTTCCACATACAGCTTCTTTAAAAAGTCTATTGTACAGTGATATTTCAGTCAGCACAGTTGGGGTTTTTTCCAATAGAATTACTTCACAGTAAGTGCAATATTTTTTTTTTAAAAAAAAACAACACTGCAGTGAGTTCTAGCCCCCAGCAATGACCCTAAAAAACACCAAGTGCACTGTACTAGAGTTTTTAACTTCTATACTACCTCTAAAGTACTTGAATATCCATTTCTTCATCGATTTCAATACACCTGTATAATTTATTTTTTTTCCCAGTTTACCACTCCACAACATATCATTATTTTCTTCATCTCTCCCCTAGGTTGTTTTTTGTTGTTTTTTTGCCTTTTTTTTTTTTCTCTTAGTTTTGGTTTGTACCTTCTGCATCTATGAGCAATCCTTATAATATAAGACAAGAGTCACGAATTAGTCTCTGGAGAGTTAAAAATATTAAGAAATGAAAGATGCTGAAGGTTTGCTATGTCAAAAAGTGTATAATGACATTTCAGCCTTTCACTTTTTCCAAACCGTGTCATTTTTCTTTGTCTTTTATTACAATATCTCAAAGGTTACACGCACTGTATTTCTTTAGTTTGCTACTACCCCTGACTGCAAATGTGTTTCCTGAGGGAAAATTTGCTCTCATTTCACAAAAACAGAAGCAAGTGCAAAACAGAAAACTGTGAGAGGTGTTCATTCAGCTCTACACAGGGATTTGCATGATTTGCCATGTGATAGTTCAGCAGAACTTTCTAAGCTGTCTGTGGCACTGTTTATAAATTATGACTGGTTTTCTGGGATGATGTACTTTCCTTTAGAAAACAAGTAGTTCCTCAAAAAGTAAACAATATGTGGAAGAACTAACAACAGCTCCGCACTGTATCATTCATTGGCTAGCCATGTAATTTGGAATAATCATTCAATAAGAGAGTTGAAGGAATTGCTTCTTGCCACAAGAAAGCAATTCAGTCTTTTAAAAGGAATACTCTGGATTCACTGTTTTCATTGTGTACTGGTAAACCTAGTACTTCCGCACAGGATTTCATCGCGGTTTGAAACTGTACCGAGGAAAAGGGATCCCTTTGTGGCACTTGAGGAACCTTTGGGTTTTTACTCTGTAAACAGTTCAGTGAGAGTGTTCTCGTTTTCGGTGACTGATGATAACTTCCATGGTAATTGTAACTCAGCCAGCTACCACAGACAGAAGCAGACAAGGAGCACTCATATCATCCCTCGTTGTAACTCAGCGCTCACATGAGGAGCACTGCCAACAGATTTCAGGAGAGGGTAACCTTGGGCAATCAGTACTTCGGAAAACAGTCAAGGGTGAGCTGATCTGAAATCAGCTATGATCAGAAGAGAATGTGTGATCATAGCTTTTCATACATTGCAGGTTTGCTGAGCAGGCCCTGAGTCCTGTAAAACTGAGCCTTTGGTAGGTGCCAAGCATGCCTAGTACTCTGAAGGGGTGTCTAGGTGTTCATGTAATCAGATCCAGGTCCATACTAAGGACCTTTTGCATTTTACTATTAATACAAAATGGCCTGAAAGCAGCTTAAATGTTCAGCGAATCGCCTGCCACAGAGGTGGTCTGATCTGAAGCAAGCATGCCAGCCTCCATGACTGACACATTTTCCTAAGCTAAAGCACTGTTGCTTTAGCTTAGCTGTAGCCTGAATGCAGCTCAAGCCCACAGGACGCATGCTGTGCTTAGGAAGACTGAGCCTGGATGTGAGTGCCAAACTCGTTTGTTGCGACAGGCTGTTACAGAAATACTGGCTTAGCCTTTTGCAACAGCTTCAGTGCTTGACCTTCTTCAGGTGCCTCCATGTAGACACCTAGGCCTTTGCTCTACCCCTGAGTGTCCTCAGGGCCTCTGCCTGGAGATGGCCCCCGCCTGAGCCTCCCTCTACAGCCAACGTGCAAGTCAGTGATGCACGCTGTGGGGGGAAGGACTCAAAAGTGAGCAGAGCTGATAAGGCTTGTGCACTCAAGGGAGAGGTCAGATTCCCTGATATTTAATAGCTCCATGAGTAGAACATTCAACTAGCATGTGAAGGACACAGTTGAAACTCCTCTTCCTCTGATTTGGAGCAGCAATTTGACCTCAAGTCTGTGTCCCCAGGAGACTTGGCCCAGCTTCTATGCCATAGGGCAGTTCTACCGTCTCTTACCAAAGTTCTTCCAGCTTGGAGAAAATGCTGTCTCTGCGTGTTTGGTGACCACACCTGCACATTTCTTACACACAGGTTTTAAGGATTTTAAAAAAGCGTCAAGATGTCATATTTTGGAAAATAACATATGTTTATGAGGAAAATATACCTGTGCCAGTATCTGATGTGTTCCCAAGTGATCTGATTCACATTATTCAAAAAATGGTGTTAGTTTGACTTTCTGTGCAACACCAAGGGAGTACTCCAACTATGCAGCCAGATTGAAATTAAAAGTTGCAGTGCATACTCTAAAGCATGGAAAACACACGGGAAGATGAAAATTCAAAGCGAAGAAAAATATATGGGCCATTAAAAATCAAGTACAAGCTAAATTTCAACTCAAGTCTAACTTTTAAAGTTTCTTTAGTCTCCTCGTCACGACTGCACAAACGTCAGGATAAGCTGAACCATTTTGGCAACAAACAACCCACAACCCAAACTAGAAAGCTTGAATGTGCATACAATTCAGGTATTGTAAGAAATAGGTTTGTCTTTTCCTCTTTCCATACACATGTGATGGCAGGTGCCACGTGGGAGCAGGACAGGTGTCCATATGTCCTCTCCCTTGTCCCTTCCTACTTAGTTGTTCACAGAAACTGCTTCTTACTGAAAAATGTTTCCGTAACTGTTGTTCTTCAAAAACTGCTAAAAAGCCCTAGTGTAAGGTCTTGGGTTTCATTTTGTCTCATCAAAAGGGGTTGACTTACCTATCCATGCAAAACCCCTAGAAGACATCTGTGAATTTTGGATGAAAAGGCATTTCCCTCTAGTCTAGAGGTGTTTCCAGCTTCGACCTGCTTAGACCTGTCCCGATGCCTTGACCCCTGCTGTTGACGAGCTTACTCTCTACTCCACACTGCTGGCTTCTGCTCATCTCATTTCTTCTGTACATCGCTCCTCTATAGGGGTCACTGGGTCTCACCTCAGGGTTCTGCATGTCACCAGGTGGCAGGTCTCAGGAAGACAAGGCTAGCCACAGCCTCGTGAGTCACTTGTTTACAGATGACTACCACTTCAGCTGATTGAATAAAGGGAACTCCTGCAATAGCATATAATCGGTGTTACAATAAACACCCATTGATTGCTCATTTTTACCAGATGCCTTCTGTACATCTCCTCTCCATATTCCCAAGCACTGGACACCTCGGATAAATTAGCATCTAGTACATTTTAAACTCTGAGGGTTGCAAGGGGGGCTACAGACACTATCATTTTAGAATCAGTTAACATCTCCATCACTGTTTCTCCCTAAATCTTACCATTTGGACTATGCTGTGCCACCTTTTGCCTGGATCATCCTTTTGCTTCCATCTTTCTTTTGCCTCCTTACACTTTCACACCTTACACTTTCTAACTATTTTAAATTACATGTTATAAAAAAGCCCACCTCCCAGAATTCAATGTGCTGGGGGATAGGGCATCCACAAGTTGTCTCCATAAACTTCTGCCTTGCAGATGGGATTTCCTTACCACAAAGACATCTGCTTTTGGGGGCTGAGATTTTACTGCCGTGCACTAGAAGGAAACTGGTGTGTCACCGTACAGTGAAGAATAGGATCCTTTATCTTTTGCTTGTTCTTAATACAGATTGCGTTGCAGATACTAGGCAGATCCACCACTTTTTCTTCTGTTTTTGCTTTCTGTTATCATTTCCATTATTTAAATAGATACAGTTATACTGCAGATTGCTTTAGACAAGTAAATGCAAGCATTTAGTAAAATGTAAAGAATACACATTAAATATTTGGTGATACATCCTCATCAAACAGCTCTTACGCCATCACACCATGTGTCTGTCCATCCCATCTGCCTCTGAAATAATTGGCTCATTCCAACCAAGAGGAGCTAAAAGTCTCAAAGACATTTACACATCTATAAGTTTAGTGGAGATCACAGATGTCTTCTCCGAGTGTGCTCCATGCTATCACTCAGGACCGCGTGCATGCGAGCGAAACCCTAGAAAGGAATCAGTTTTAGGAAAGGCTTCACTTGGAGCTTGCAGTCAGGCGTGAGAGGCGTTTGCAGGAAGCCAGGCTGCTCAGGTCTCTGGCAGGCAAGCACGGCAAGTTAAAATGGCAGGGTTGAAGTTGTTGCTGCCTCTGGCTGCCCGTCCTGGCCAAGGCAGGGGTGATCGAAACTGATGAAACAGCGTTTGAACCACCATGGTTTTCAGCCCGGTCTTTTAAGGTAAGCTAGTGCTGACTGCGGTTTTATGGTACCTGTAGCCCGTGTGAATCGGTTTTACCTGTTTGAGTAATTTCTATTTTTGCTCAGGTGCCCTTCAGAAGCCCTCTCAGCTCAGGCTGAAAGCAGCCCTGAAGCGCTCAGGGTAGCGCTCCGCCGTGACGCCCCGGCAGGCCCACCGCCGCCACGCTCCCGCCGGGGAGGAGCCGCTTACCCGGCGGCCCACCACAGCGGGGCAACAGGCCCGGGGTGCGTTTCCTGGCAGCATGCCACCCACGCGTGGGGGGGGGGGGGGGGGGGGGGGGGACGACGACGACACCCGCCAGCACGCCTTTCCCCTCGGGCCCACGACAGGGGCGGGGAGGGGGGCGAGAAATCAGCCGGAGGGACGTGAGAGGACACACGGTGCCGGAGGGCGGTGGCGGCGGCGGGGGGAAGGGCGCCCGCCGGACAGGCCCCAACCGCCTGGGCCAACGGCCGGCGCGCGCCCGCGTTGCCAGGAGACCCGTGGCGCGCGGGGGAGGGAGGGAGGGAGGGAGGAGGGAGGGGGGAAAGGAGGGGGGGGGGGGGGGGCGGTTTACGTGGTGACGTTAATTCTATATGAGCGCGAGCGGCGGGAGCTCGGGTCTTTTTTACCGCCAGCCGCGCGGCGCCTCCTCCTCGCTCCTGAGTCACCGCCGGCCCCCGGCCCGCGCAGGTACCGGGCGGGGCCGCTGCCGGGGCTGGGGGTACACACACACGGACACGAGTGTGCGTGGAGGGGTGGGTGGGCGTGGGGCGCTGGGTACCCCCGCTCCCCCACGCGCGGAGGCCGCGGGGGGCCGGCCCGGCCTAGCGCGGGCCCCTCGGCCGGCCGGGGAGCGGGGCGGCGGTGCCGGCGCCTGCCCGCCCTTGAGGTGGGGGGGCGGCAGCGCCGCTGCTCGCCCGGCTCCGCGGCGAGGGAGCGCTGCCCGCCGCCTGCCCCTCGCCTGCCCGTCGCTCCGCGGCGGGGCCGGGCCGGGTTAGGCCGGACCGGAGCTGAGGGGGAGGCGGCGGCTTTGCCCTGGCAACACGTGGGGCCGGAGCGGGGGGCGGCAAGGCCGGAAAGCCGCCCGGGGAGGAGCGGGGGGGGGGGGGGGTGTGGAAATGTGTGTGTGTGTGTGTGTCTGGGCACCGTGAGGGACGCGGCGTGGGGTGTCTGTAGGGGGGTGGGTGCGCACATGGCGGAGGGAGGAGGGGGGGCGGCGGCGGATGGCAGCGCGCTGTGGCCTTGTACCGGCTCCCGCGCCCTGCGCTGGCTGTCGGGCGGGGAGCGGCGGCCGGGCTGTGCTGTGCTGCGCGCTGCTGGCAGGGGGACCCAGAGATTCGGCCAGAGGATGGGCAACTCCTGCTTCCTGCCTCGGGAAAGGGCATTTTTCTGTGTTCTGGAGTTCAGCGTGTCGCATCTCTGGGTGCCTGCTAGTCTGCTAGTCCTCGAGAATGAGGAGTTCGGTTTCCGCTGGATTGTAGATGTGTCTGTCGTCCGCAGTGACAGGTACAAGAAGTGCATTGTGTCTGTCACCAAGGCAAGCTGAGAAACTCCCTGGAAGATCTAGTAACTACAGTATTGGCTTGTGTTTAGCATCCGTATAGATAGATCTACCTACAAAACATATTCCATTTACTCCATATTGGACATTTAGTGGACTTACACTGCCAGTACTTGCGAGGCTTTCAATATTTAATACAAAACCTTCCCCATTTGCTTGCAGGAGAAAGCACAAACCTTTTTTTCAAGTGACTGTGATATAGTAATAATACGTCAGCATCTTCCACAGTTCATCTTCAAGCACATTGCAGTTTTGTTGAAGCCTTATGGAGATGCGCTTTGCATTTTATGTTTTAACTGCTTTGAAGAAGGTAAGAGGTGGTGGGCACTGGTTGTACAAGGTAGGACAAATACATTCCTCTGCTCACCCCCTCTGTTGGGATTTTAACATCTGCTTGTGGACCTTAAATTAATCAGGCAGAAAGTAGTGCATGATTATTTTAATTTCAATCATGCAATAAAACTTCAGAGAAGATCTAAGGCTGGGTACAGATGAAGGTAGTTTCTGGCAAAAATGTTAGTAGCTTGTTAGTAGCTTGTTAGTAGCTTGTTAGTAGCTTGTTAGTAGCTTGTTAGTAGCTTGTTAGTAGCTTGTTAGTAGCTTGTTAGTAGCTTGTTAGTAGCTTGTTAGTAGCTTGTTAGTAGCTTGTTAGTAGCTTGTTAGTAGCTTGTTAGTAGCTTGTTAGTAGCTTGTTAGTAGCTTGTTAGTAGCTTGTTAGTAGCTTGTTAGTAGCTTGTTAGTAGCTTGTTAGTAGCTTGTTAGTAGCTTGTTAGTAGCTTGTTAGTAGCTTGTTAGTAGCTTGTTAGTAGCTTGTTAGTAGCTTGTTAGTAGCTTGTTAGTAGCTTGTTAGTAGCTTGTTAGTAGCTTGTTAGTAGCTTGTTAGTAGCTTGTTAGTAGCTTGTTAGTAGCTTGTTAGTAGCTTGTTAGTAGCTTGTTAGTAGCTTGTTAGTAGCTTGTTAGTAGCTTGTTAGTAGCTTGTTAGTAGCTTGTTAGTAGCTTGTTAGTAGCTTGTTAGTAGCTTGTTAGTAGCTTGTTAGTAGCTTGTTAGTAGCTTTCTTGCTGTGCCTATTTTACAATGGTACACTCTTTAAAGAATGAGAAGGGCACTGTACTTGGGTTGCAGCAAGCTGAATGGCTTACAGTCTCCTGTAAATCTAGAAATTATCTTAATTCTTAGGGCAAAATAGAATTTTAAATCTCCATACACTGAAATTTGAGTGACTTGGATGCCTCTGTACCAGACAAAAGTTTAAGCCACTTAGGCCTCAGGTACCTGAAAGAAATATCGATGTAAATGCTTAGAATAGGCCTCTGGTACCTGAACTTCTGTTTGTGTGGCCCACCTACTGTGAGAGTGGTGTATGTTAGCAGTCTCCCTTCTCTCTACTTTTTCTATATTTTTTTGACAGGTCTTGTGTATCGCATGCTCTAATTTCTGAGGACAGAGGATTACAGAATGAGGGTCTCGTGCACAGGTGGTAGGTCTGGGGGTTTTCAGAGCCCCTGGTCCTTCTCTGACATTCACACAGGCCTCGGCAGTGAGTGCTGGGGCTGCTGGAAGTGCGCAGGAGTGCTGTGCTGCATCTGTGTGGCCAGCCCAGCGTTCTAGGAGGTGCCAAAAGTGCCGGATCTGCTGTAGTGCTGTGTGTGTCCAGCACAGCAATGTTCTTGCCATTCTTGTGCTTCATCTAGTCCCTGCCTCTCTCAAAAACTGTTCCTGGGAGCAGGTGCAGGGTACTTGTTATTGATCTGCTTACTGAGCACCCTGGAAATGGGTAGTCTGTTTTTTGTTTTTGTTGTTTGTTTTTTTTTTTTTTTTTTTTTCCCTTGGCTTCTTGCATAACTGACAATAAACATGTGTGCACAAGTGAAACTGAAAGCAAGGCATTGTGGGTATGTATGTTATGAAGCTTTAACAAGGGTTTTCACAACCCTGAGTGAGACCTGAGTCTTCCAGGCCAAGACTGTGTTCTTTAATACAGAATTCCAGATCTTCAAGGAAACCTTGGCTTACTGTATTGCTAGTTGCATGGGTATAAATCTGTTTATTCACTTAGCTCCTAAAAGTTGGAGTAATTGTAACACTCGTTGTGGCAGAGATTGTATTCCTTTGGGGAATTAAATAGCTTGAGGATTTGAATTTCAGTACTAAAAAAATCTCAGGGGAAATAAGCATCTTTTATTTTGAATTTTTGATTGAATCCTTTGGTGAAAGCTAGTCTGTTCCAGTAGAGCAATGGGTGTAATGAGCATGTTTATGGTATCTGTACCTTTTTGTTATATGGTTGTAATCCAATTCGCCTTCAGGTTCTTGTGACACAGCTGCAAACATGTTGTATTTCAGACTAAAGGTCTGATTCTCATTTCTTTGGGAAACTTCAGGAATTGGACAGATTGCAGAAAATGGAGATGCAGGTGTTCTTTAAATGTCTGTTTGTTTTTCTGCATTTGTATATACATTCAGTGAAACTTTAGCTCTGGGTTTTCCAGCAACTGATAGTGCTTTGGTGTTTGTGTGGTATGAGTAGGCACCCATACAGAAGACAGTACAGGCAGAAACAAGGCTCTTTAATGCTGGTTGTATTTTACTAGAGCTGAGGAGTCTTCTGAGTTAGCTTCTGTCTGGTCTGGGCAACTGCATTCCATCTAACTTCTCATTAGGAAAGCAGATAGTAAATAATAGAGCAGAACTGCATTGTACAAGTGGTGTTTCATCTGAGGAACGGTTGTGATGATGGGTTTAATGCTTATAGGTCAGTTTTCATTTCTAAATTACTTTGAGCTCAGGAGTGATTATAATCAAAGTTAATTCAATCTAGTCGATCCTCACTCAGCTCAAAGGTTAGTGGAGCTCCTCATCACCTAACGTTACTAATCTGGAGAGTAGGTCTGGTGTCATAATGTATTTGTCTAGAAAACCAGACATACCTGGAAGGCATCAGAGAAGTTACTTGGGGATACATTTGATGAGCTGAAAAATTAAGCTTTTTAGAAACAATGCATGAGGTTTTTGAGGACTTCCTACACTCAGCAAAGTTAATGCAAAGGGGAAAACCCACTTAATTACAAGTATAGCCTCATGTTTAGTGATAATCTCATGACTCACTCAAACTCAGGACACCTTAAGTTTTCAGGAAGACTACATATGTTGCAGACTAAAACCAGTTGCATTTAAAAAAAAAAACCCTTGCTAATATACTTTTGATACTTTATATTTAGTTTTAAAATATAAATAATTTAAGATTTGAAGTAATTTATGGTCTCCCTAAAGATTAATCTTTTAAATGAATTTACATATTACCAAAACATAATCTGCATCTTAACTATTGTCAAAGGTTAGACTGGAGTTCTATCCTAGATGGAAAGCTGTCTAGATTTTAGTATTGGAAAACACAGGTGCATTTGGGGGCTGAGTGTGTGCTTAAATATACATCT